TAAACCCTAAACCCTAAGCCCGAATTGAAAACCTCCGATTAGACGAGCCTACCCAGCCCTTTGACTCAGACGGACACGGCTGGAAACTTTGGCGACCAGTGGCCGGGCTCAGGTTGTCCAGTGTTCCATTATTCTCAGTTGCTTTTGCAAATGGCAACAACTAAGAATGGCAATAACAGTTATAATTACCGCAATAATGATGAGTGAGAACCATGATTAATAAGAATAACCAATAATAGTAATTGGCAGTAATAACCAAGACTAGCAACACTATAAACAAACGGTTATACAATAAAGACATGAGTAAGTATAATACTCATAAGAAGAATACGCAGTATTATTGCTACTACTATTTCGTTGTTTCATTATGATCACTATTATTCGTGTTGCTTGCGTTTGTGCTTTGACGGGAGTCTCCAGCCTGCTATCTTTTTCGTTCAGGCTGTGTAGGATTGACTGGGGCTTTTGGGTTAGACTTAGTCCCTAAGCCCTAAACCCTAAACCCTATCCACAAGGTCTCATAAGGTCCTTGTACATGTGATAGAGGGTTTTGGGGCTGAGGGTTCAGACCCTAAACCCTAAACCCTAAACCCTAAACCCTAAACCCTAAACCCTAAACCCCTAAACCCTAAGACTTCAGAGTTTCGGACTTGGGGCTATGAAGGCGAGGGGAATCCTTCCAGGTCACTTTGTTTGGCGCCAATCTCTCGGACGACCAGAGAATACTTTAGGGTTTAGGGTTTAGGGTTTAGGGTTTAGGGAGGCATTAAACCCTAAACCCTAAACCTGAGGTTTTGCGTTTGGGGTAGAACTATCGGAATGATAATCGGCATTGCTGCTGGTAGTTCTACCATCACCGCATCATTCGTTGTTGCTGTAGCTGTAAAATCAGTCTGCTGCCACCAACTTCCACCCTTCTCGGACTATGGAGGATACCCTAAACCCTAAAACCTAAGCCCTAAACCCTAAACCCCAAACCCTAAACCCTAAACCTAGTCATTGTTGGACGTCTGCAAGCGATGAACTATCGGATAGGAGTTCCAAAAACACGTGTCCCCTTTTCTTTTGAAGAATCCTAGCAGGGCTAGGATGCAGTGGCCGGAAAAAGCAATGCTCCACAAAAACGTAGCCCGGACCCAAACCCTTAACCCTATAAGCCCGAAAAAACCACCGGAACCCCGGACCGCAAACCCAACCCCCAGCTCTAAACCGCAAAACGTTATTACTCCAAACCCTAAGCCCTAAACCCGAAACCCCTAAACCCTAAACCCTGAACCGAACCTAAAGCCCAAGTCCTCAACCTCCAATAGGGAGAACTCTACTAGAGAAGCCTGAACACTTGTTTTGGGTTTGGTGTTACTTATTCATACTATGCGGTTTAGGGTTTAGGGTTATGACGTAGGGTTCCCATTATGTTTGACCATGGCATAAAGTACTTCGAAAGACTCTTCTAAACATTACAGCCCCTACACCGAACCCTCATGGAAACCCCTACAATAACCCTCAAAGAAACCCTGAAACGGAACCCTGTTCTAATTTTGAAGACCACTCTATGACCGAACCGCCTCACAAAAAAGAACAAGTTCCTAGGTACAACTTCGGGCCAGTCCCAGCGACTTTCGGGCCCAAAGCTTAATTTATGAATAAGGGGGGCTAGGGGGGCTTAGGGTTAAGGGCTTTGGGGTTTAATAACTTGAAAAGGGTTTCGGGGGATAGTATGGTAGAGTTATACAAGGACGCTACAGGGGCGCAGCTTCTGAATAATCAGACCTTTATAATAACCTCTTTGAGGTTTAGGGTTCTGGTTCGGTTTGGATGTCCAGGGCTTGGTGGTATCCTGCGTCCTGGAAGATTGTAGTGGCAGTTCGAGACTTGTGTAGTTTCGGGAAGTGGAAAGACTAAAATCCGAATCCGTAGCACGTCACCAGAGAGCCCTCGCTCTGGGTGCTGCCGTACTTGTTTTTTTGAGGAGGGGTGAGAGCATGGGGAGTTCAAGGATAGGAGTACTTGGGCTCATGGGACTTAGTAACTAGGGTTATAAGTACCCTACATGGACTTATAAGTACTCATAAGTATAGTTACCTTTTATATAACAGTAGTTACTAAATCCCATGAACCTCTAAGTATGGACGGGTTGGAGTCTGGATTGTGGTTTAGGGCTGCAGGGCCTGGCAGTTGCGGAGGAGCCGGGCACTTCCGGAAAGTAGGATTTCGATTCAAAGCCAGGAAGCCTTAAAAAGTCCTAAAGCTTTCTCGAGACCCTGAACCCGAAACACCGGGCTCTTCAGTCGCCACAACAGCATGGGCTGGTGTGCTAGTTCAGGTGCCCTAAACCCTAAACCCTAAATAGACCTTGTAGCATGGCAGCGTGAGGGCTTCGGGAGTAGGGCTACTTTAAAGGGTTCTTTAAAGGGGTCTAAAAGACATCTATGATAGGGTTCTTAACCCTAAACCCTGCACCCTAAAACCGCTTCTTGGCAAGAGCTGCGTGCAGCTGTCGGACCTGCGCGTCCGCTTGGCTCAAAACAGTTTTTCTGCACAGCACTGAATAATAATCACAGCAGCAATTAAGAATAGTACTAATAACAATACCAATGGGATTAATAGTCATACTGACAATAATGAATACTAGCAATAGCAATACGGCAGCAAAAGCATTAATAATAATTAACAAGAACGATTAAGTGAGTGCTTCAGGAAATTAGGGCTGCCTTCTCGGGGTCGTCAACCAAATATTCCATCCTGGTTCTAGTGCTTCTCTCGTTGTAATGATCCCTTGCCATTGAAAGTCCAAAACTCCAATGATGTCTTTTTTCGCGAGTACACCTAACTCCTCAAAACCCTGCATAAGCCTCAAGCCCCATAAACCCTAGGTGAACCCAAAACCCCAAACTCAAAAAAAGCCATAGTACCTAAACCCTAAACCCCAAATCCTAAACCCTGAACCCTAAGCCCCAAGCCCTAAAACCTGAGCCCTCAACCGTATAAATCCTAAACCCTAAGCCCCAACACCAAAGCCTATACGGTTTAGGGTTTAGGATTTAGGGTTTTAAACCCTAAACCCTAAACCCTAAATAGACCTGAGCCAAGAGACCTGCAAGGCAACCCGGCGCCGCGCAGGCGTCCACCGCGACGGTAGGGCCCTCAGCGCTTCTCTGCGAACCGGTTAGGGTTTAGGGTTTAGGGTTTTAGGGTTTTAGGGTTTAGGGTTTAGGGTTCAGGGTTTAGGGTTTTAGGATGAAGCCTTATATACAGGGTTCAGGAGTTGGACTTTAAGGTCTAGGATTTATGGCTTGGGGTCGACGATTTAGGGTTGAGAGTCTACGATTTAGAGTTACGATTTAGGGTTGAGGGTCTGCGATTTAGTAGGGTTTAGGGTCTGTGATTTAGGGTTGAGGGTCTACGATTTAGTAGGGTTTAGGGTCTGTGATTTAGGATTGAGGGTCTACGATTTCGGGTTGAGCGTCTACGATTAGGGCTGAGTGTTAAAACCTAAACCCTTATAGTAGCCCCTATAGAACCTTTTAAAGGAACCCTTGAAAGGAACCCCCAAACCCTATTCTAAGTATGAAGGCCCCTACATTAATCGCGAGACTTTTCTAACTTCCCAGGCGCCCGTCTTCGGTGGTGGACCTACGTCCCTTGCCTGAGTTATGCAGGGGTTTGGGTTTAGGGCTTTGGGCTTAGGGCTTAGGCTTTAGGGCTTTGGGTTTAGGGTTTAGGGCTTAGGGTTTAGGGCTTAGTGCTTTGAGTTAGGGTTCAGGGTTTAGGGTTTCATTGGAGCCCAGAAGACCGCGAAAGCATCAACCAGAGGCGTCCTGATGTAGGGTCCCTGTGTTTATGTGATCTGTTGCGACCTTAGTGTTGCACCCTAGCTTTTGGGGTTTCGGGTTTAGGGTTTAGGGGTTTAGGTTTTAGGGCGGTGCATTCTGAACTCGTTGAGGCTGCAATGGTTTTAGGTAGTGTCCAGCTGGGAGCTTTGGGTTTTTGGCAGGTTGAGGGGGCTGTTAGTGAGGGATCTGCATCGCGATCAGAACACCATCGCCGGTTTAGGGCTTAGGGTTTAGGGGTTTAGGGTTTAGGGCAAACTGCAGAGCCCAATCGACATACTGGAATCGATCTCTTGACTTTGAATCCCTTCGAGACCATGATCGGATTTCGGGCATGCTGACCTGCCGCTGATTTTGTCCCGAAAGATAGGCTTTCAATGATCTCGCTGATTAGATCGTGTTCGGAGATTGGTTTTCGTTTTGGTGCGTATTTTTGGGGACAGAAGCTTGGGATAAGGGCCCTAAACCCTAAACCCTTTACAGACTTGGAGATCGCTTCGGCTCTAAGATTACGGCAGCCCCTTGCGACTAGGAGCCCGCTGGTCATTGAGGATTTCCACCTTGAAGCCCTGAGCCTAAAGACTAAAGGCCGGTGTCCAAAAATACCTCTGAGGTTTCGGGTTTAGGGTTTAGGGTTTATGGTTTACGGTTTAGGGAGGGTTTAGGGTTTAGGGTTTAGGGTTTAGGGTCCTATAAACCCTAAACCCTAAACCCTAAACCCTGCAATTGCTGACTCAAATTACCATTACTTCTAAGACCAAGCTCGCAGCT